TGGTAATGTTTGGTCATAGTCCATGTATTGTGGTGGGTGAAAATAACTGTAATATATGGTTAATGGTGAGGTGGTTAAATTAACCCACGAAAATAAAAGTTAAAGTTACCAGTAGGTGGGTTACCCTGGTTGCATTTTCAGTAACCGACAAAAGTGGGTTAAATTCAACTTTCATTTTTTATAGTGTTCCGTTCCGTTGTGTCATCGGCAATAAAGGCCAAGTATCGTTTAAAAATCGTCAAAGCTACCCTCACCTGGCAGGGAAATAAAGCTGTATTTAAGCACGTAGCTGCTGGATTTATCGAAATTGATGATTTAACTGCCAGGGTTGATTATGTTGTCAAAGAAGTTCAGAAAACCTGGGGAGAGATGTACACAGTAGTTACAAATGACGGATTACAATTAGTTGACTCGGAGGCTACAAATGGTATGTTTTTTTGTAACTTTTAAAATTATGTCATAATTATTGCTTATTATATATATCCTCAAGAGTTCATAATTGATGATTGCTGTGTTATATAGGTTTGGCATTCTGGAAAAATCCACGAAGGAAGATATATGCTGTGGTGAAGGATAGTATGAAAGGTAAAAGTCACAGTCGTAATGAGCCATCGTCAAGTATTTCACATGATTCGGATTCTGATGATGAATTCCAACAAAGGAGGAAGAAAAGTCGTATTGAAGGAAAGATTAACAGACTGATGGAAGACGTATTTACTCTTAAGGAAAGTGTCTCTGAAGTGATGCAAGTATCAAAAGACACTAAAATACCTTTAGCACTCAAGAAAGTACTTTGTGATTGTTTTAAGTGCAAGATATGTCACATTGTGCCCATCAATCCTCCTGTTATTGTAACAAAGTGTTGCAAAACAATAATAGGGTGCGAAATCTGTGTCAATTCATGGTACAGTGGGCCTGACGCTTTAACAAAGGCCTGTCCCAGCTGCCGTGGAGAAAGGGGGTATAACGAAACAATGGTCATTCGAGGCATTGATGACTTTTTGTTTGCTATCAAAAAAACAGTGCCAGCAGATGAGGATGGAAGTGATGGTGCTCCTCTTGATGATTAAATAACAAGTAACTGGTCTTATCATTGCAATAACTCATTTATTCCGAATGTAACTATGTATTCATTTCTTCATTTATGCTAGGTGTCGTTTAATGATTCATTTATTCAATATGTCACTTATTTAATTCTTCATTTAATATTGATTATGAATAACAAAAGCTTCCCCACCCAACTACCGTAAATATTTAGCCAGCAAAGATCCTTGTGGTTCCTTCCCCAGTAGGAAATCACTCTTGCCAACTGCCTGCCATTTTTCAATAGTTAATCATTGGGGAGGGGTCTATTACTTATGATAATTTAATTAATTTTAGCAATAATTAACATTTTAATCAGTAAACAAACTGGGCAGACAGGAAAACAGCTGTAAGTTTTTTGGTCAATACCAGGGAGCAGACTGAGTACCATCAAGTTCTATACAAAGGGTATAATCAAAGAATTATTTTCAGCATAGATACATGTACCTGTATGTGTAGACAGTATTTGATTTCAGTCAAAAATTAACTGCATACAACACTGCAGCAACGTACAGATCATTAGCCATAGGTCATGATAGGTGGTGGTATAGATAGACTAATGGCCCCTGGCCCCGCCCCTAATAGCCAAGCCCCAGCCCCCTTTAGTGCCAGTGCCCTACGAGTGTCAGCTTGTTGTTTAGAGAAATAATACAGCTATAGGAAATAGGTAAGAAAAAACTCATGATTATCAACATTAAACCAATTATTGGAGACTTATCTTTCCAATCCTCAGGTTCCTATTTATCTTGTGAAGAAGCGGCCGTTTTGATCTAAAAATAGAAATTTGGAATATTTAAAATTAACCCTTTGCCTAATATCTAAAAATAGAAATTAAGATGGCCGGAAAATACACGGACCACAAGGACTAGGCCAATATCCTGTGGAAAACCGTCATAAAATGGCAGATCAAATATTCAGGCACAATGTCAAAACATTGTTTGAATGTAATTCAGGCTCCACATGCACACGTTACAAAATGAACAAATCAAAAACAAACAAAACCATAACTTGACACACTTCAAAAATTCTAAAAAAAAGTAAAAACTCATCTCACCTTTAGCCTGTACATCTGCAGGAATCTTACTCACTTCCAGTAAAAGATTTCCACTACAACTTAATACAATTAGCCTCTTCAGCAATTTCTATACCACTAGGTCTTCTTCTACAATGTATAAACATGTCACAATATTTTATAAACTATGATACGTACCACAAAATTTCTAGGATGAGTTTTAGCTTTAAAACTTTAGATTCTGAGTAGTATTTGCTGGACAGAAAATTCGCCATTTTTGATTTCTGCACTTTACACCACGCCTACATAACACCATAAAATTAACTCTTTGTTTACTCAATTTAACTTCAGCTTTTTGGGGAGTACGAGACTAGGTTTTTTCCTACTCTTTTCTGCTCCTTTCTTCCTGCTATCGTAAGGAATAGTAGCTCCAAGAGTGATACGTTTTATCCAGCCAGACATGGAAGCTTTAGCCAGGCCCTCAACTAAACATCTGCGATCCTTTCATGGAGGACTCCCACCAGCCTCAGTGCCGCTGGCCGGCTGGCCCGCGGGACTAGTGACTCTTCTGTAAACTACCAAACGAGGTAACTGTAACTTAATTTCATCATTTTATCGTGCCAAGGAATATATACTTGAATGTGTAAGGAGGATGTACCATTGTTGAAGGGTTGCCGGCAAGGGGACCCAATAGAAGGTCTTGTTGCCATTGGGTATGATAGAAAGCACAGGCTCAGAATGGAGGTTGACAATGGCATACTAAATGGCTAGTAATCTTTTTCAAGTTCAGGTTGTGAAAGCTATTGGCCAAATAAAGCCAGCCATTTTGGGCCATTATGTGTATGGCGGTATGCTCAAATTAAAACCCACCAATCACTAAAAACTTAGCACCCCTCTACAATTAGCAGCCATACAGTATTATGATTGAAGTACTGAGGCACTGTTATTAATGTTGATTTGTAGGTGACTCCACCAGTTGAGGCAGTTATTCTTGTTCTCTCCTTCATCTGGTCTCTACTCTTGTCCTCTTCCTATGACTGATGGAGGAGCTAGACTAATTGAAGTGAGCAGACATTACACATGCACAAATGCACATTATACTTAATGCATTACATACACATTTACATGTACATGTACATGTACTTACTGATTCTCTGGTGCTACTTCTTTTATTAATCACTTTCTATAGCAATGTATGCATGTATGTGTACATGAATGTAAAAGAATTATCCTGGCAACCACCTCTGTACTACAAGAACATTAAAAATAAAAAAAAACAAGATGAAGTAGGATTCCGAGCGACCAACAAAAATACAAATGAAAATCCTACTCGTGACGCAAATTCTACTCTACATTGCAAGGTGATCCGTAATTCTTACATAATAACATTAAAAGTACAATGTAGAGTAGAATTTGCGTCACGAGTAGGATTTTCATTTCGTATTTTCATTGGTCATTCAGAATCCTACTTCATCTTGTTTTTTTAAATTTTTTATGTTCTTGTAGTACAGGGGTGTCAGCCAAATTTTGCCAAAAATATCAAGTAGAGAATTCTCAATTTTTGTAACATTTTCTGATGCATATAAAAGTTCTTATGTTGTGTAGAAAGTTTGAGCTGATTCCGAGCAAATTTGGATTTTTTACGAATTTTTAAAGTTGCTCAAAAAGCCATGTACTGAAAAGCCTCAAATATAGCCAAACTCCCAATTTGATCTAAAATGCTAAATTAATGCACACAATTAAAAGAGAACTTGAGGCATTTTTATTTATTTTATTTCTTTGTAATAATTGTGTACCTTATTGTATTGATAATATTGTATCCTCTTCTCTCTCTCCTATAGTTGAGTTATGCTGATATGTTGAAGAGAGTTGATCCGTTACATAAAAAATTGAAAGATTTGGAAACCAAAGCTGAGGACACTCATCAAAAAGGATAAGAAATAACAAAAATAATAGCAGAACTTGAAGCCTCTATAGCAAAGTAAAGAACAAAACAAAATACATTAAAAGTGAAACTTTATTTTTAATTTTATTTCTTTACTTAGATATAAAGAAGAATATGCAATGGTTATATCTGATGCTAGTGTTATTAAGAATGATTTATCAACTGTTGAGAAAAAGGTAAAGTATTTTAATTATTAAAGATATTTATGCACCTACCTACATACAGTGCATGTATCTATAATTAGATGTAGATCATGTACACACGTAGTCACGTACATGTATTTATGAATTACAGTGCATGTACTACATTGTATGAATGAGATTTTATGCTTGCATATTTCTATGTGAAAATGTCTTTGTTGTCTTCTTTGTTATTTCTGTTTGACTCTCTTTCCCCTTTCTATTTTTCTCCAGGTTGTTGGTCTTAATGTCTCATCAGCCACTACCCCTGAGCTATTATTAAAGAGGTTTGATCATTACTGTGAGTACAAGAGGGCTCCCAATGGAGTTGTGATGGCTCCTTCTCAACTCGGAAAGTGGCTGGTTCTCTTCTGTGACGAGATTAACCTTCCAGACCTTGAAAAATATGGTAAGGAGTATTGATTTTACAATAAAATTAGTGAATATAAAGTTATAACAAGCTTATGTGAATCCATTCAATCCAAATACAATTAGAGAGATATCATTCTCTTTTTTAATGTTTCATTAAAAATTCTTTTTTCTAATTAAAGGTACTCAGAGAATAATATCGTTCTTACGTCAGATTGTCAAGCACGGCGGATTTTACAGTACCTCCGATCACACGTGGGTGACAATAGAGAGGATACAGTTTGTAGGAGCGTGTAACCCACCGACTGACCGGGGAAGGAAACCACTGTCTCACAGGTACAGTATGCTGTAGTGCATGGGCATTGAATACTGTATTATTTGGGAGAGATAGTTTTTGTATTGCATTTTACCATATAGCACTTTAATTGGGCATTTTATTTTGGCAATTGGGAGTCTGCAAGCGGAATCGTCAATGTTAAAACCACCAATCATTAATGAGTACAGTGTATGCTCAGTAATGCACGTGTACACAAAATTGGTATAATATGTGACCATAATTGACAAAAGGGCCCTTGTGGCGGATTTTAAAATTGATTGTTATAATGGAAAATATCAACCTGTGAGTGCTTTGTTAGACAATCATTGTTTCTAGAAGTTTCATGGTAACTTTTTGCATCCTGTGGAGTAATTTTATGATAAATGGGGCTCAGGAACTTGGATTTCTTAGGCTAGAAAGACAAATTTCACTACCCGCCATAAGGTACCTTTTGTCAATTATGGTCACATATGTAGGAGAAAACAAAAGAATAAAAAAACTACTTGTAATAATTATAATTATTATTAGTTGTTACTATTTAGGTAGATGCTTTACTTCAGCAGCAACATCATTTCTTTCCAAATCCTCAAGTGCTTTTATCAGCTTTTCCCTTGTAGCAGTACCAGTCTTTCACCAGTGAATTATCATGTCTTTATGGGATACATTTATTTGATAGAAATTGTTTGAATGAATTAGCTTTAACTCTTCATTTTCAATTCCAAGGAATATTCCCAGAGTCTCCCATTCATTCACTATCTTATTGATAGCTTTCAGTATAACAGGAGCATGAGACTCATCTGTAAATAAATACACACATTATCTATTAATAATAATACTAACACATTCACTCACTTAATACAGAACCTGCTGGTAATACACTGTCAACA